AACCAGACTAGATCTCTTTAGCCTTGGGTGACAACGAGTGCAAGACGAGAATGATTCAAAATTAAAAACTCGTGATTGAAGCTCTTAAATAATCTTGAGCCTTCTTGCCCGTAGATTATTGTAGTTGTGTGTTTAATGAGTGGTGTTCATGTTTTACAACTGTCTATCGCTATAATCCTAGTGAGTTCAAGATACTTTCTTACATGTAAAAAGTGGTCATCGATTAGGCAGCCATCCTGTATATATGAATGTATGAAGATTAGCATTTTTGACGATTGTATTATAATTTCATATGTATTTTTAATCGACTTTTGTTTTCTATTTCTACAACTATATGATTCTATCAATAAAAACAATATTCAATCTGATGAAGTCTTTTTCGAAGGTCAAAACGCATCACATGATTTATCACTCGGTTACGCAACTGATATATAGAGTCTATATATCATATATTCTCACATATAAAGCCATATATTATAAAGGTGGAAATGTTTCACAACCCGCCATTTTCTTTTCTTGTTTTAAATATAGTCAGGATACAGTGCCGGAAAGCGTTTTTAATCTTTTAATTAAAATGCAGAAAAACTTTCACAAATCATTTTCATGCTGTAAGAATTCATTCAAATAACTTTTGTTGTTATATTCAACTGACAAAGTTTTCTATCCAAATTTTCTATCGACTTCGAAGTTAAACGCGTCCTTCAAACATAGCTACACATGATATTATTTACAGACGATAACAACTATATTTAAGTATCTGTCTATATTTCTGAGATGAGGTATTATGTACACTATTTACATTATTCGGACTATTGTCCTCATCTTTGTCTCCATATTTATTACAACGTTTCGGTCATTGTACGCTCCGGCCTTCTTCAGGTGGTTGGAATGTCGAACTGAACCTTTTATTTCCCTCACTGGGGCAGACTGTTCTAGTTCCACGTGCCATGTTTAATGGATGTCAGTTATCAGTTATCTCCTGTTAATTCCCCTCTCCAAATTTTCCATCGCCTTAACCAGGTATTGAACTCACACTCTTTGGGTTCTGTCATTGGATTTCCTTGAGGACACATGGATCAGTGGATAAAGGTGTTAGTTAGAGCCAGTGACAGGACCCAAATAGTGTGAGTTCAATGCCTGTGTAAGGCAGTGGAGAACTTGGAGAGGAGAATAAACAGGAGATAACTGATAACTGACATCCATTAAACTACCCCAGTGAGCAAAATAAAGGATTCAGTTCGACATTCCAACTACCGGAGCGTACAACGGCCGAAACATTGTAATAAATATGGCGACAAAGACGAGTACATTAGCCCGAATAATGTAAATAGTGAACTATATTTAAAATTTAAATTTTAACGTTTCTCAAAAATGCTATGACGAAAATTAATTACAATTTTTCTGAAATGTAAGCTAGTAACATTTACGATAACCATTCTTGATATTGATCAATGATGGTCGAATGTCTTGGAGACAAAAATCAACATCATCTTGATTGATTCTCCATTTAATTCATCTACATGAAACTTGATATCGTAATAAAAATTGAGATGGCGAACCAAATTCCATTCTCCAATTCTGAAACTGATCCTCGCAGCGTAAGTGATATGGATCGATGCATTTCAGAAAAATCATTAAATTCTCTACGAGAACTTAGTTTGACGCAAAAAAATAAAAAAGGTTTAGCGAAAATATTTAACTAATATTAAAAGATCTGTGAACTTAAATTTTATTTAGAATGCTTGATGGTCGAAATAGTTGTTCATTCTAAACAAACAGAGTCTAGTGTTTGATCTCTATCTATAAAAAGCAGGATGTGTGTGTGTGTGTGTGTGTGTGTGTGTGTGTGTGTAACGAATGCACGGCCGCAATTTTCGACGACCCAAAATACATGCACATGCTCCAAATTTGAAAGGCCAAAACTTTTCATTTCCCAACCTCATCGATATGGAAATATTTTAGTAGGGACAGTTTTCATGTAGTTTGCGGCCATTTTAACTGGTAAGTGAAGTTTATAGAAGGTCGAATAGGCAGGATGTCGGACGACAGCCAACAGCTGACTGACACGAATGTCATGCTAACATGCAAAATGTTATGGTGAAACACAATTCTATAGTTAATAAACTCCCCACCTAATATAAGTAGGGAGTAGTAAGGAAACGAAGGTCAATCGATGTCGGACGACCAAAACAAGATTACTCTGCGTACTACCTATTATATCAAGTTCCTAACGTTTTGTACATCGAACTATTTAGGACTGAGTTAGTACAAATACAAGCCTCCACTGCGAAATAACTCCACAACAACTTTGTGCGACGAGGGATTCGCCCTCATTCGGAGGAAGGAAAAATTCACTCGACACAATAACTTTGCCGACAAAATCTCGGATTCACACTTGGCAAAGTTTTTCGCAAGCCAAGACGTCAACTTAGTGACGAAAAAATCTGTCGTATTCTGAATTGAGAAATGAAATATGTTTTTCTCCCCGATAATACAGTTTGCTCAAATAGGTCACGAATTGCAAATTCGTAGGACCCCCCTCTACATTATTTAGGCATTGTGTAAACTTTATGCGGAGATGGAGGAATGCAAAAATATATTCCGGGAATTCTTTAAGTTCCAGTCGGAACAACAGACAATATTAGAGCAACAAAAACATTCCAGATGCAGCTACAGGAGGAAACTTTCAATAGACAAATGCAATTCAAACAAAAAATGGAACAGATGCATAGGGAGTTTCAAAACAAAATTCTGGAAATAACTGAGAAGAGGAAAGAGAAAAATCTACAAAATGATTCTTTCCCAGAGAATACAATATGGAATTCAATTAAAATATTCACGCACAGTCCAGATGAAGAGATAACTTTTGAGGAGTATTATAAAAAATATACGGACGTATATAACGAGGACTGCCACACATGGTCTGAAGGAAAGAAGGTTAGGCTTCTTTTAAGCAAATTAGGAACTGCTGGGCATAACAAATTGGTAAACTACATTTTACCGAAAAAAACAAGCGAGTTGGCATTTATCGAGGCGGTAAATATATTAAGTGAATTATTTAGTAAAAAGACATCTCTGTTTCACAAGCGGTGGAAATGTTTAAATTTGATGAAAGATGACGAACAAGATTATATAACGTACGCAGCCAATGTGAATAAGCATTGTGAAGAATTCAAGCTGGCAGAGTTTAGCGCAGACAATTTTAAGTGCTTGGTGTTTGTTCAGGGGCTGGTATGGGAAAGAGACGCAGAAATGAGAAAATTAGTACTGGCAAAATTGGAAAGCGATCCAAGTATTATGGTACAGAAATTGGCAGAAGACTGCACAAGATATGTTAGCGTAAAGAAAGATTCAAAAAAGATAGAACAGTCTGGCGTTTCGCATGTAAGGAAATTACACTACAAAGAAGAAAGTCAGTCTACCAAAAAGAATTCTAAAATTGCGGATTATCAAGCAAAAAGTGAAATACCAGAGAAAAGTAAACAAAATCTCCCAAAGCCATGTTTTGCTTGCGGTGAACTACACTGGTACAGATATTGCGATTTTAGGAATAAAAAATGTTTCAACTGTAAAAGAGTGAGTCATAAATGCACGCATCGCAGGTCAAAAAATAAAGACAATAAAATAAGAAAATTAAAGTCTAACGGGGTAAAAGATGGAATAACCAGAAAATTTGTTACCGTCGAAATAAGTAATAAAAATGCAACGCGACACTGGTTCAGATCTATCATAAATTTGCATACGTGGAAGTTGGGGAAACCAACTTTAATGAAGACAAAGAAAATCGCGAGGTCAGTGACGGGAGAAAAAATACAATTTATTGGGGAATTTGTTACAAACGTCACGTTAAATAAAAAAAAAACGCGAAAAGCTAAACTATTTGTCATAGAAAATACCACGAACTTACTTGGTACGAATTGGATAACAGAATTCCAATTATGGGATCTACCGATAAATTCCTTCTGTTACAAGGTAGAAAGTTTAAACACCGAAGCCGAAAAATTAGTAAAGAAACTTAAGGAAACATTTCCTACTGTTTTTTCTCCAGGGTTGGGAACGTGTACCAAGATGGAAGCAAATTCCAGTTAAAAGAAAACACTCAGGCGGTATTCAAAAAGAAAAGGAATGTGCCGTTTGCCTCAATTGAACAGATAGATAAAGAATTGGACAGATTAGAGAAAACCGGTATACTTAAAAAAGTTGAGTATAGTGAATGGGAAACACCGACGCTATACGTGAAAAATAAGCCCCAGAAAGTAAAGATGAAGCCGACACCGAGAAAAATTGGGGAGCAAGTTACCCACAGCCAAGGACATGCAGTATTATTAAATGATTTAAGTCAACTGAAGTAACCACAGAAAACATTAAGAAGCACAAGATCAACAAAAGGGAAGCTAGAGGCTGAACAAATAGAACCACAAGAAGAACCTACAGAAACTGTTCTACCACTCGTCCCTTCAGCCCCTCAACCTCCGGCGTCTTCCCCTTTGGGTTGAGACGCCCACTCGGTCTGAACCGAACTCGGGGGTAGCTGGCCGCATGCTCCCTGAGTACCCGTAGATTGTTCAAGTTCCGTCTGCTTCCCACGTTGTGTTAGTTTTTAGATCCAGTAAGCGGGGTGCGGTCGATTGGGAATGTAGACACGGCTGTGTGGGTGGGAGGCAGGAAAATTAGAATGTGGCAAACAAGGAAATAATATCTGCAGAAGCCGAACAACAATGGGTAAAATATTGATGTCTTTTATATAAAAAAACAACAACAGTAGAATGAGTTTACAGAAAGGATAGAAAAGCAATTAACATACGAAGAGAGGACCACTCCTCTACCAATTATACCAACTGAGAGAGGTGTGTGTGTGTGATTAACTCGTTCCAAATCAACTTGGGAGGATATGTGACTCGTAATTCCAGCCCTACGTGGAAGTGTAACTTTTCAGTTGGTTGTCGTAAGTGACAAACGTTAAGTTTCAGCGACTTTTCAATGCGACTGCTACAACGACGATGATATTTCTTGAAGTCCTTATCTCTGACTCGCCACTGGACCGACTCACTGACCGTCTCTCTCTCACTGCAACTCTCTCTCTCTCTCTCTCTCTCTCTCTCAACGTCACTCTCGTCTAACTCCCAAGTCTCCCCAACTCCGCAAAACTCGCGTTTATATAGAAAACCGAAGGTTATAAGCCAGGTTGTTCACGCGCTTAACACAAGTGTCGCCATAAGCAAAGTTTAAATTCAGATCTATTTCAAATCTCTTAGTAGATAAAATTAATTAGTTCAATGTTCATTTCAGTTGCCTTTTCGATGACCAAATTCAGCGGATACAACTTATGTTTAGATCAGATTACGCTAAACATACAATGATCTTACCTCCCCGGTGCAATTTACTTCAATATGTTTTTATCAAAAATATTATATTTGTCTATTATTTTTTTTTAATGACCCAAATTAAACATCGCCTCCTGCCCTTTTGCATTTGTTTATAAACATATCCTCGCCAACCCGATTTGAAATTTATTCTTTATCCATCAGCCGTCTCAGGTTTCATATATCATTGTTCTAGATTCTTTCCTATTAATAGCGCTGACACAGTTTGTAACTTTCACGGAAGACCGTATTTTCCATCTTCAATCAATAAACGTTATATTTGCATGTGTGCATTCATGTGCGTCAACCTCTCTCTGTTACACTGTGACCACATCCTTAAGAAGCTCGAAGCGGACGGTTGTTTCTGGTAACACTATGGAGGTACCAAAAAATAGAAAAGCGGATTGGTAATATGATGTACTTGGTGAAAGGCGAAAAATTCACGTGCAGACGGCACATTAACCAGATCAGACGACGCTTTTCAGACGTGGTTGACTGCGGTCCCCCGGAAGAAACGCCGATGGAGGTGATTTTCGATACGTTTGATCTAACAACGCCGTCTACGATTTTACCTGAGGTACGCCGATCCAGGAGAAAAAGTAAGGCAACTGATCATTTAAAAGTGGATCCAAAACATAGGAGATACGCTAAGATGTTGCTAAAAAAATGAATTTTTTTTTCTTCATATTTCCTGTAAAAATAAAGAAAACTGTTTTACTCCTACGGAGTAAAATTTTAGGAGGGGGGTGTTATAGTTAATAGACCCTCCCACCTAATATAAGTAGGAGTAGTAAGAGAAACGAGGGTCAGTCGATGTCGGACGACAGTTAGTCGAATACGAAAGTAGTCAGTGACCACAACAAGATTACTCTGCGTACTACCTATTAGTTCCTAACGTTTTGTACGTCGAACTATTTAGGACTGAGTTAGTACAAATACAAGCCTCCACTGCGAAATAACTCCACAACACAAAAAATCGATACCTGCGTTCGTCACAAGTGGGAAAAATTTAAATCTGCATGGCACTTTACTCCAATTGGCTCATTCGCTTGCTTAAACTCAACGTTGATTCTGATTCCGCAGAACTGGGTTGGGTGTGAAAAAAGTATTTGTTGTTAACATTCTTTTTTCATTCGATTTTTCTAGTTACGAGTTTGTTTTTTTTAAAGCTGATCGTTTTGTGTTCATTTTGTTTAGTTCTTTTTTTGTAAGAGATTTAATGTTTAGTATAGAGCTTAGAAAAAATTCGCAGTGTGAGATAAGCAAGAAGTAAAGCATGTAGCAACATCAGCACGGCAAAGGGCACTCCTTTAAAGGCAAGGAACGGCAAAAATATTTTAAGTCAAATGATAGCGATTGCTGTATGAGTCGTACGATTTTTGAATCAAGCACGGGCAACGCCGGGCCATGCTGCTAGTCATATATAAAAATGTTCAAATGATTATTCGCAATATATTTAGAAGATTGATGCCACAGAATCTTCCCGTCTTTATTTAAGCATCCGTTCAGTAAATTTCTACAATTAAATAATATAAGACATAAGGAAAAATTAAATGAGCAACTCGTCATTGGAAACATTGTGGAAACATTGCCGCATCCATTTGTCCTCCAAGAATCTGGATCTTTATTGAAGCGATCATGTCTTTGAGATCGGCCATCGAAATTCAATAGGATTAACATAAGGATTACTGTTTGTTGATAAGTTATCAACTTCTTATCAATATTGTCTACTAACTGAAAAAAAAAAAACTATCAGAATCAAGCGTGGAGAAGCAAATTGGTTATTTTTTCTTATGTATACTGTATATAAGAAGGGGTGATGAAAAGTTCACGGGTCAACACTCTCTACAAAGTCTAACCAAACATCGCAATTTTAGTCGGGCCGAGAACCTTTAATACATCATCGTATATATATATATATATATATATATAAACGACTGACATGGTACTGTAGTTAAGTTTTAGATTTATTTTTTCTTGTGTTCTTTTAATTTTCTCATTTTCTGGAAAAAAATATGTAGAAATTGTCCGAATGTTCAGAATGTCCGAGCGCTTTCGGCTATACTTTTAGCCATTGTCAAGGATCGTTTTATTTTTACTTTTAACTGAATGAGTCGATTATTTTATAGATGAATCATATCTTATTTTTCCAAGCACGGTTAGCATAATGTTTGGAAAATTAAGGGTAGAACATGAAATATGAACCGAAAAAAAAGAAGATTTTGTTCTTTCTGATAACCAGGAACGCAGAATGGATACTAATGTAAATTGTATGCCGAAAGACAAATGGAATTGTTAGAATTCGTAAAGCCGGTAATGTAAACAATCTGGAATGTCGTTTTATAAACATGCAAATGGCAGAGAATTATTATGTGGGTTATATTGGAAAATCGAGAACAAATGTAATTCTTTGACGTGAAGGACGCAATCATAATTTATAAATAAAAAAGTTTTTATCGGTAAAATTGTTGTTTTGAATAAGTAACCGATTGCGGGTCGATTGTCGTCAGGATATAGAAAGGAATAATAAACAAAGTTTGTTGTCGAAGAATGTATTATTTTGAATAACTGACAGCTTTGTTTAAAGGTTGTTGTTTCTCCAAATTGAAAAAAATAATTGATGGGAGTCGGGCGAATATAAATAAAATATAAACATAGCGCTTAAGCGACCCAGCTGTTGGAGCGAGATATGGCAAAAGACAGACGATATGAGGCAACAGTAGACGAAGGAGCTACTGAATTCCACATGACCGACTGCCGAGAGAATTCCCAAGCGGTCTCTTTCTTTGTTGATTGAACCCGTTCCAAGTTCAAATAGAAAAAACCAGTGTCAAAATAGAGAGTTTAACGGGAAGAGTTAATTTTGTTGTATCAAAAACTATTTGAAAACCAATTGAAAATTAACCCGGCGACCTTCTTCGTTATTTTGTGGTGTTATTTTTCGCCAGCGGAAGCGTTTTTTGTCCTTTTGTAGTATGGTTCCGTCACGGTCCGATCCAGCGCTCAAATACATATATATATATATATATATATATATATATATATATATATATATATATAGTGTTAAATTTTGCCGGTGAGATAAAGAACATTTCTCAAAATGGAGAAAGGGCTAGGGTCATACATGGATGGCAAGTTGATAGCAAACAAAGAAAGGAAACTATATGAAAACCTGAAGAAGGTAGTGGGGAAAGCGAGAAGAATGGACTAAACATCAATTGTAAAAAGATAGAAGCATGGTTGTTAGCAAAAGGAAAAGGTTAACATGCAAATTACAAATTCAAAATACGAAAATCAAACAAATACAACAATCTAAATACTTGGGAAGTGTTTTAAAAAAAGGACGGAAAGTACAATACTGAAATCCGGCGGCGTATTAAGATGCCTTCCAAAAGCTAAGCAGTGTATTAAGAAACTGGAAAAATTTGTTAGAAATAAAAAAAAGGTTACTAAAGTGTTACGTAATATCAATCCTCCTATATCACAGTGAGTGGTGGACAATATCCTTACAGATAAAAAAGCAACTTGAAGCTACAGAGATGTAGTTCTACTGAAGGATGCTGAAAATGACGTGGACCGAACATGTGACCAGCGACGAACTTTTAGAGACAATGGAAACAAAAAGAAAATTTAACATCAGTAAGAGACAGTTGAAATTTCTAGGGCACATAATGAGGAAAGAGGGCTTGGGAAATCTGATACTTCCAGGGCAGAGTGAAGGCAAAAACACGGAGGAAAACAACGCATAACATCCCTAGACAGCATGAGTAAATGGATGGCGGAACTGTGTTTAGGAGAGATAACAAAAAGAAAAAAATATTATTAAGAACGAGGGAAGACAGGTAATTGTGGAAAGCCATGATCGCCAATGCCCTGAAGAAGAAGAAGAAGAAGAAGAGGAGAAGAAGAAGAAGAAGAAGAAGAAGAAGAAGAAAATATTCCTCCCATTAAGTGTAATATTTACACTGTGAAACCTTTTTTTTTCGGTTTCTTCTAAAACCATGAGAATGTCGAGTTAAAGAAAAATGCATATTTTCCTCAAGTTTGATTGTAAAATTTTAAAAAGCATATGTTAAGGCGACATTATTATATTTTTCAATTAGTTTTATTAATTGGAATTTAATTGTTTTGAAATTTGATAAATAAATTTAATTTGGAGAAAAATGAAAGCAAAATTAAATCTGAAATAGATTTACATCAAATCAATAAATGATGTTATCGATTAGCTGTTAATGGTCGATAGAAGAATTTTCGTGACAAATAAGGCGATTTATACGTAACAAATAGGGGCGTGGAAAGTGAAATAATGGAAGACAAAGATTGGGCAGAATATAAGATACTTAAACAAGTATATATGAACAAATTATTCTAAATAAACACATACACACGCATATATATATATATATATATATATATATATATATATATATATATATATATATATATATATATATATTTGGTTGTATTGATGTGAGTTTGTGACCTGGGTTTCACGCTTTTGCTATCGTCAGGGTTTGTCAGAGGATCGCAAAAACGTGAAACCCAGGGTCACAAACTCACATCAATCCAACCAAATATATATATATATATATATATATATATATATATATATATATATATATATATACTAGCAGTAGAGCACGGCGTTGCCCGGGGATGTAACAGTAAGAGATATATCAAGTATCGACCATCATAAAGACTGAAAAATAAAATTGACAAAGATTATTGTTTAAGGTTGACGGACACGCATGTCTTAATTAGTTTTTTTTTTTTTTTTTTTTTTACGAATTGGTCAAACCCAAACTCAAACAAAAACATTGTTTACATTTACAATCGTTATGAGTCTATCGATTGATGAATAGAATTTTATTATAAACAATTGTCTTGTAAATGGAATTTTTAAAGCATTCTGAATGTAAAAATAAAGAAAAAAATGTGCAAGACAATAAGAAACACTACCTGTCAAAAAAAAGTGAAATTTTGTTGAAATCGGTTGAAAAATGTAGGTAGCCTTTCTCTGTAATCTTTTACAATTTATGATTTTTACTTATTGAATACAGTAAAAAAAATTGCATATTTTGCTTTTGGTGATTCATAATTAGAATTCTGATTTGAATATATTTTCCACTCGTTGTTTCTAATACAAAAAATATTAACTTTATTTGGGTTTATTAATTTATTACAAGTACTGTGTTCTTTCCTTAATAATCTTCGAAATATTGTTGTTTTTTGTCTATCAGATTTCTTACGTCGGCATTTTTAAATTATTTCTTAATACTTTCTTTTAAATATTGAATTAATTTCAAATAGAACCAATGCCTTATTGATCTGCCTTGTAACAAATTGCAAAGGGAATTGTAAAAACGGCCCTAAAGTACGTGGAATTATCTTTCCCTAAAGATAAAGAATTATCCGATTTTTCGATTCGTACAATCAGTAGAGATCGTTAGATTATGGTTTAGGTTGACGGACACGCATGTCTTAGTTTGTTTTTTTTTACGAATTGGTCAAACCCAAACTCAAACAAAAACATTGTTTTCAATCGTTATGATGAGTCCCCCGATTGAATAGAATTAGATTAGAATTTTATTATAAACAATTGTCTTGTAAATGGAATTTTTAAAGCATTCTGAATGTATAAATAAAGGAAAAAGTGTGCAAGACAATAAGAAACACTACCTGCCAAAAATAAAAGTGGATGTTTGTTTTATCGGCTGAAAAATGTAAGAAATCCGATCCCATATATAAAGGAACACACACACACACACACACAAACAACCTGTTTTTTTTTAACTCGATGTGAGTTGTCCCCCTTTCATTCTCATGATGTGTCTTAGTCGTGTTTTCAAATTGATTTTGTTAAAAAAACAATTGTGTTTTTCCCATTTTCGGCGCCGTTAGAACCACCACAAGGTAATTTTATGATATTGAGCGCTTTCTAATAAGTACCTCGCATATAATATATAAATAATAATATACATAATATATATATATATATATATATATATATATATATATATATATATATATATATACACACACACACACACACACACATATATATATATATATATATATATATATATATATATATCATGATACCCTCGTCCTGCATCTCGGCGTTGCCGGTAGAGTTCAAAAGCAGAGGATGCAACAATACAGTTTGGTACTGATTTTACTACGGGGTGGAATCCACAGGTAATTTCGTGGCCCACATCCGGGTTTATTTAAGGTTTATTACTTTGCATTCTCTATTCACGAATTTACCGACAAGGTAGTGAGAGTTTTAATTTAGTTTTCATTCTCTTAGACTGGCTAGCCATTCAAGGCAAGAGGGTGCAATATGCACTACTATTTTACCCATAGCTGGAGGATGATATATTCATGCCCTGTCAAAGCTCATTAGTGACTATATTCTTTAAAAATATATACTGAAATATATAATTTATATTTTGGCAGTACTCCCCTCCTTTTATACATGTTTCATTGAAATGGCGGACTAAGTATTTTATTCAGTTTCTTTTTAATGTCCTTTCAATGATTCTCTTACGGGACCTAAGAATGTGTTGAAACCGCGAACCCCCCCCACCCATGATTATTCTTCCGAGCGCTTTCTGAAAATTCATTCCGTAATGTAAAGGCGTGGGTGGGGCTAAATTTCGTTGTTAGTATATTTTGTTTTTTATGTTCTATATATTGTATTGTATGAGAGTAGTAGTCGTAATTTAGTTCGTCTTGGAGTTTCTCTTTAGCTTTCAAAACACAGCCAATATGTTTGGCTGTTTTCAAAATTAGTCTATTAAGTGTAGGCTTCTTCACTTCATTAAGTAGGCTTCTATTATCTTAAATAAAATTACAATTACGCATACAGTAGGAGAGAAACAAATATTCATACATATACAAATTTTTAATTTATTGTATTTCCAACTAATGAATAAACATACTTTGTATACATATGCATAATAACTAAATAAGCATAGAAAACAAAAAAATGATTTAATAGACATAAATCCCATTTACGCATTTTAGTGGGTGAAAAAAGGATTTATTAAAATAACATTTCCAGATCAACAAAAACCTTTTAAACCAGAAATCGGAAATGATGACCCGTTGTATACATACTAAAAAGTTCAGTTTGAGTTCATTTAAAGTGGGATAAAAAAAGAACGTATGTATATTTCATTTAATCCCCTACCGATACATTTCCAATGCACTTGATTTTCCCCCTCCTCCTCCTCACCTTCTATCACACCTCGTGCGCTTATTCATTTTTTTTTTAAATATAGCGTTCAAAAATTTTTATTTTTCAAAAATGAAGCGTTAGGAAATCAATTGACCGAAATCGCCTGAAGATACCGAAAAGTTGAAACCAAACCAAGGTAGAAGAATCGGTTGATTTCTTAATTTTCTATACTATAATATATATATATATATATATAACAGACAACAAATGTCTATTATGCTTGATCATGAACCGTTCTAAGCTTCCGATAGTGGATTTAGTCTCGGGCGAAAATAAAGACAAAAACTGTCCAAGTGGAATAATGTTCTGCTGCCCCAATACACTGTGTGTGTGTGTGTGTGTGTGTGTGTGTGTGTGTGTCTAAGAACTTAGCGTTCTCCATAGTTTCTTTTCCTCTTCATAGCGTCGTCAGATTCTCGAATATTTTCTCAAACGTAAATTTGAGCGTTATTTTTTCTCAACGATATCTTTTCTCTGTGATTATAAATTCGGTTTTTTCTCAACAAACTTCTACATTTGCCTTTGCTGAAGCTCCTCAAGAAATAAAGTGCAATGCAAAAATAATTCTTCCTTTGTCATTTCTTTTTATATATATATATATATATATATATATATATATATATATATATATATATATATAGTATCAATGTGATCCAATTGAGTCAAGTTCGAGATATAGAATATAAACCTATAAGATTATTGTTACAAATTTTATAACCTTCAACATCCATCACCGCAACAAAGTCAAACGTGTGCAGCTGGGCCTATGACGTAACACTAAAAAGCTTCATCATCCATCAGAGCAACAATGCCGAATGTACTCAGATGAGCCTATGACGTAACACTAAAAAGCAATGTCTCTGCGGCCATATAACGCGTGCACATATGCTTCAAACAATGTAAATATTTCAGATCATCAATGCAAGCATTTCATTCAAGTCTTCGATTGTGTGAATCAGAAGCAGACGTCAAAGAAATGCACTGGTAATTCAATAATAACGCAAGCCTCTCTTTGAAAAGAGATTCTATCATGTCTGGTGGGAACAAAATGTCAGTCGCCAGACGATGACGTTGAGTTTTCGAATTTATTTGATCATTATGTGAGTGCATGAAACTCATGCTTTGCACTGAATGCTACGCGGACAGCGCAGATTTTACAAGTTTTTGGTGCAATCTTTTTAGAGAAAGAGGCAATTCTTTCGAATCAATTTTTGATAAAAAGAACCCAATTTATATCATGTCTCATTCTCTCTCTGTTTCTCGCTTTCTCTCTTTCTCTATCACTGTTTCTCTATCACTGTTTCTCTTTCTTTCTCTCTCTTTCTCACCCATTCTCTCTTTCTTTCTCGTTCTTTTCTCTATTCCTCTTTCTCTCTCTATTTTTTCTTTCTTTCCCTCTCTCTTACAATCTCTCTTTTTCTTTCTCTCGTTCTTCTCTTTCACTCTCCCTTTATTTCTCTGTTGTTCTCTCTTTCTCTCTCTGTCTGTCTCACTTTCTCTCGTTCTCTTTCTCACTCTCGTTCTCTCTCTCATTTTCCTTCTCTCTCTTTTTTCTTTCGCTCTCTCTGTCTCTCCTTCTCACTCTCTCTCTCTCTCTCTCTCTATTTCGCCTTCTTTCTATCTCTGTGTTTCTCTCTCTGATTCTCTCTCTGATAGGTATTTTCTTTGCTTTCTCTTTCATACACTTACCCACCCATCTTCTCTATTTCGTTTTCCCCCTTTCACACATTCTTTCGTTCTTTCACAAGCTCCCTGAATCTTTCCTTTTCTTTCTCTTTCTTATTCTCTCTCTCTCTCTCTTTCTGTCTTTCTCTTCCTTAAATTATGATTACGTAATGCCAGCAACGAAATTATCAAGATTTATTTGGCGACCGCATAACTAACTCCTAAGCAATAGCCGTTCTCGCTAAAAGATCATCTTAGACTGGAACATTATTACAATAATGGAGCTGTCAATGAGGGACAAGCTCGTTATACAAGCGGATGGCTCTGAGAAACAACCTTGTTAATAATCACTCGAGAGAAACACCTCGAAATAATCAGTTATCATTTCACACTATCTTTTTGATAAGAAACTATATTTCTTTCATTTATAACAAACTTCTTCGAAGACACTAATGTCGTTGATATTTATTCAACTATTAATTCAATCCTTTTGATTATATTGTAGCTAAAATTTTTGGCCAAAATTTCTGGTCAAGATCCAAAATAAACAAAGTTAATTAAAACCATGCTCGCAACACAATGTTACTTCCGACATGAAACACCTTTTACCTTCCATTCTACATCATTGATAATTGTCGCTAGGAGAGCGTTGTGTATTGGTTAATGATCAAAACAAACGCTTTTAATTCAGTATTAAAAATCTGACTTGTAGTTGCATAAAAATCGCAGAGACTGACATGTATATATATATATATATATATATATATATATATATATATATTCTGTTCGGTGGCAAAAGCTGCTGGTGGCGTCAGGGGTGGCAGTACCGCCCTAGCTACCGAAACTGTGTTACCTCCCCTGGTTGGCGGCTGACAAAGGCATGGTATCGCACGTGCTTTCACACGTATGTAGAAAAAGAAATGTTCATATCAAATGTTTCTCAACATTGGTATATCTTTGTATAAAGATAGAATAAAAAGCAATATTTTTGGTGTATTGTTTTTAATTTAAGAAAGGTAAAAATGTGCTCAAAAGAAACACATTTGCTCAGTTTCTATTGCGCTCGGTGCAAATATTTGTATGCTTGAAGATATTAATTGAGAATAATCATTGTTATATGACGGGGGAAATATACTAAGAACGTCTAAATTAAACGCTGAAAATAATTTTCATAAATTTAATAATGTTAGTCGCTTTGGTGTGTGACTTACACATACGTATTAAAGCTATCTAGACAGTCTTTCCGTGTTGTGATTTATTAATTAAATAATTAATTATTAATTAAACTAAAATTATTAATTTATTAATTAAACCTGATGAAATTACGAGGGATGAGAGAAGAAACGAGAGAAATGAGTTCGAAATGCGTATCAAATTTATTCATCCAAATAATGTGACACTGTTTCTCTGATATTAATTGGTTGAAGCACTTTGTATAAAGTCCAAGAGAACCAAACGATTGTTTCCAGCAAGTACTCTTCTCAGAGCAACTGATGCGTTGGAAATGAGAAAGCTTGTAATATTCTATTGCATTTTTGTTTCTATGACTATGTAAACATTGTTCAAGCTTGCATATGAAGTTTTCATTTATACGGTACAATCACCGGACATTGTATCTTTGAATTACCATTTATTATGTTTTTTGAAGAATGTTTTTAATGAAAAAATTACATTCACTGGAAGAGTTTAAAAGGTACTTGGAGCAATTCTTTATTGAGAACGACAAAAAGTTTGGTGAGGATGAAATTCTCAATTTTTCCTAAAAGATATAAAAAATACTTGATAAAATATGTAAATATGTTGTTTAATAAAATTAATATCGACTTTTTAAATAATGTTTTTATTTCTACTTAATATACCAAGTGACATACTTCGTCGGCCTAATTTGTGGAAATGAATCTTCTCGGCAAAAGACATACGTCGAGGACACGAGCATTAACTGTTGTTGGTTTTTCTTGGGAATAAATGTTTTGTGTTGGTTTTCTTTCTGACGCACGAAGAAGCCGCGTATTTTGCGAAAACCAACGAGTAATAATCTCTTTTCACATGTCAAAGCCGCTTTCTTATAAAAGGTCGTTTAATTAGAATGAGGATCGGGTAGCGAACAACAGTTGCAGAGAAATGTCTGTCCAGTTGTTTCCAATAGAAATATTGTGGATCAATTGCTACAGAAATAAAGTTTTCTAATAGGATAAAATCTTATTTGATCTGAAGAGGAAAACCCCACAAAGTGTAAGACGTTCATTAGATTCAAAAGAGTCTACAGAAAAGATTTTCCCGGGGAAGTGTTTGAAATACAATTCTACAAATCGTGCCAATAGTTGTTAATCGTCCATTTTTCGTTTTTATTTTCTCTTATCTCTTTTCAGTTTCTTTTCCTTTTTCTTTCTCTTTCTTGAAGCTTTTCCTCAATAGAGGCAGAGGAGAGACGAAATAAACTTGGAAATAGAGAAATATAAAAGGCTGGTCTCGTCACGATAAAAAGCTAGGATAAAAAGTCTGGGGAGATTTGGAATCTTGACAAGGACGTAACGAAAAATAGGAATGCTCTGAAATCCCTGTCATCTTAGGGTTGTTGGCGCCCAACACCGGAAAGAGCACAATTATGGCGAACGCAATAAAAACTTCATTTTTCAGACGCACATTATCGAACGACGGAAACCAAGTAAGGCAATCGCCTCAAATCCAATTGCCATAAATTAAATAAAATAACATCATCTGCTGAATTATTTTTAAATTATTGTTAAGAGAAATATTCGTAAGACGAGGAAAGAAAGAAAGAAAGAAGAAAGGGAAGATAAAAGTGTTTAATGTCTCTTGCTAATACTTCATAGATAATGAACTATTCCATTTTAATCATGTGGAAAACTGGGAAAAAGACACTACTTGATTTCAGTGAGAAAATGAATAAAAGAAAGAAAGAAAGAAAGAAAGAAAGAAAGACAGACAGACAGACAGAAGTATTTAACGGCTGTTTCAGTGAAATGGAAAAGTTGTCAATTGCAAATCTTTTCATTTGTACCCCCTTACTTCTTAACCAGCATTCATATTTAGGATTGATAATGCAATAATTTGTTAAAGTTGTTAAACTCAAATATTTAACGATACGACAGGGGAATTTCTACGGATATTTTATTTTCGTAGAACTCGCCATGGACTTGTAGGGACACAATAATTGTCGTCCCTTTGATTGGCGGCTAAAGCTTTTGACATCATGTGTACGTTGGTCAAGTGTGAATTCAGTCCCTTACAAAACTGGCTTATGAGGAGTTTTCTTTCGTTCGTTGAACAATGAATATCTTCCCTAATTTCCTGAAATCGCCAAACGTAGAGAACGGACATTATCTTCACTTTTTTTTTTGTTGAGCGGAAAAGAGATCTTGGGTCTCCAACTTCGGCGAGGTACTTTTAAATGTCTTTCTTGGCACAGAAATTGCCGATAAATTATGACTGGCAAATACAAATGTATTAATAAGCTTATTCAATCATTTAAGATTAAACAGAAAATTTAAATAGGAAAACCGTGAAACATTCAAGGGTCATTCTAGTTCATATTAATAAATACAAATATAAAACTGGAGCTGAAGGTACTTAGTATCTACTGCCTATGTTCTTCTAAAATAATGTTTATATAAACATAAATTCAGAAGTAAATAGAACAGAAAGTAACATGCGAAAATTTGGGAAAATTTTTGAAAATATAACTGAGTCGAAAATTTGAAATTTGTATTTGGCTCATAGGCCACACAACATGGCCGACACACAGCATGGTCGATACACAACATGGTCGACACACAACATAGCTCACACACCGTGACCGACACTTTACAACATCTACGTTTACTTTGAATGGTCCTTCACGATCTTGCTGACACGTTTTAACAATGGCGAAGACAAAGGAATTACCAAGAATTTTTTTAGGTAATAATTGGTGTTAATTACAGATGTGGATTGGAATGCCAAAAGATCTCTCACAAGAGTAAAATCAGAAGGCATCATCTTAGCCTTCTGGAAGAATAAATACAATGCAGCAATCATAGGCGGGATATTTCACTGCTTCGGCTCCTGGTAAGTTATCAGTATTTCCTCTGCAGTATTCAATCCTAATGGATTTCAAGCTAAGCATAAAAACTAACAGACTAAATATTTCCTTCCGGAACATTCAACAGTTTTAGCACAGCGCCATATTATATAAACAACAAAAAAGAAGAAAGGAATAAAATCAAACATTCTTCATAATTTTCATTGTCTTTAAAGCTCATTTGACGGTGCAGACCGCAAATCCTTGTGGCTACGGCTCCAAATCTCTAGAACGCCATAAAAATAACCATCTAAGCTAATGTACACTGACAGCTAAAGTTGTTTCTGCATCATCTGAGATAATACAATTGGTTTTCACTTACCGCCGGATTACTTTAGATTTGAGTCATTGCTTCTACTTCACCATAGATTTTTAAATAAAACCCGTAGTCAGAATGTTGGGCAATCAAGTTGAAATGAAACTTGGCTCTTGGTAGCTTACAGACCTTGACTACAATACTCTTCATTATTAACAAATCCTTATAACATTTAGCAAAGAAACAGTTAAGGTAAACAGGAAATTCAGTTGAATCAAGACAAAGCTAATGTCGATATTTTCAGACAATGTAATCCGTTTTCTTCTCCTAGAAGCTGATGGTAAATATTTACGTTTCGGAAAAAAATCTTTACATACATGGACTCCTCGATTTAATTGATAATGAAAGTTTTTCGAACGCTAATGTTCAACCGATGCAAGGCCCAAGAGCTATTCAAAGTGTTAGGAAGGGGATTGTTTTATGAATGTAAGAATTGTAGATTATAAGGATATAAAATATCCATTTGGATCATCAAAACTGAAGTAGCCCTAAAAACTAAATAACATTTGATGGCTCAGAAAGAGCATATCCGTTGAAACAAAGCTAACAATGCCGTGTTACTCTTGTCAATATGGCAACTGGACAGCAACAGAAGAATCATTGAATTTGTTAATTTGTTTTCAGTTTGTGTGAATTAACATTATTTACCATCGAAAAAAATACAGATAGACACTTCGGCATTGAATTTTAAGCGAAGGTTGAAATGGTTTGGATACTTAACAACGAAGGATGCTCGTTAATATAAACACCACAAAAGCT